ACACACACACACACACACACACACACACACACTTATAGATTCACATCCCCAGTAATCACACCTTTAAAATTGTTACAAGCATCTTTAAGTGAAATTAAAATGAAGAATAATCTCTGTGTTGTCTAATTACCTATGTATTATACACTGATTATTATGATTAGTAACTCCAGTATAAAGGAAAGTTGTAGAATGTGGATAAAATGCCTATTTGGGATAGAAAACATTTTATGTTGTTTCTTGTAGCATAATTCAAAGATGTGATAGGCCTGGCTTTAGGTAATTAATATTGTGGATTTTAGCTTTTGAAGCTTGTGAGTACATGTTAAGGGAAGGAGAATGAAATGTTCATATTCCCACTATAATTTGGGGAGAAAGGGTCAATCACTAGAGATTAATATGGAACACTTCATAGATATTCTTCAATTGTAACATCTCACATTATACATTTATGGTTTTTCTCCTAAAGAAGGAATTTGTATATGTGTATATGTTTTTACTGTAGTATCTTTAATATATTTCCAGTCACCATATGGAAAGTGAAATATATTGAACCCACTGTTTTTCTTTAGTTACATAGGAGTGGTGGGTTTCCATTTTTTTATTACAGGTTCGCTCGTGCGCTCACTCGCGCATGTGCACAGTGCTTCTACACAGAAGAGTCCGGGCAGGTAGGCGGAGCCTCCCACCGCCATCACTACCGGTTTGTACACATTCTGTCCTCTGATAGTATGTTGGACATGAGTAGTGAGTAAAATGAATATGATGAGAAATATGAACTTTAGGAATATCTTTTATTGCTATATTAAAATGAGTGATTATACTCGAAAGCTGCTATGAAGTAAAAAAATAAACCCACCCCACATCCTGTATATTACATGAATATGCTTGATTAAAACATGCTGAATTTTATTCTAGAATGGTGTATCATCAGAGGCATGACTGTGCTCAGTATTTGGCTGAATTTGACAATTTAAATATCTATTATGTGTTTATAGCCAAAAGGTATTGGACCATTTCCAGAATTGAGTACTTTTCTTGGTACATGCTTTTAAAACTTTACATGCAGTATGCATCATAATTGTTTGACATAGTCAAACATAGTAATGCATATTTGAGTCTTACTGAAAAAAATAAATCCATTTCTATGATCTGATGTTGTCTCACAATCATATTATGTCAGTTCTTTGTCATATTCCTCAATCTATTTCCAGAACCAATTAAAATAACTAGTATTAACCTTTCAAGCCCTAAACATATTAAAAGTTTGAAGGTGAGTCTACCTGAAAGTACCCACTATTATATTTACATATATAGATCAGGAGGTTGTGTTCTGAAGCTTATTTGATTTCCCTCCTGTATTTCATAGTTTTAATCTTTAGTTTGTCAAACATTCCAGGAAATTTGGATGATACAATTGTACATTTGTAAACAGTAGTCTGAGTCTGTAGCAGGGGTGGGTTGCTGCCAGCATTACTGCCGGTTCACAATCCCGATGCACCAGATGCATTCTGCATGCATATGCTATTCAATGTAAATTATTCTGCATGCATTCACAGAACAATTTACAGTGAACTGCGCATGCACAGTTCACTAAAATCCAAAATGGCAGTGGCCAAGCAGCAGCGAGGGAACCGGTTTGGGGGCATGACAGGCCTGGGTCGTCGCCGGTTCTGTGACCCAAATCTAAATTTCACTACCGATTTGGCCGAACCAGGCCAAATTGGCAGGAACTCACCTCTAATCTATAGTAGAGATTCTGGTCATTGATTTTCTCCATACTTTGAGTTTGCACAACAATTCAGAATTTTTCAAAACTTAATCTTGCTTGAAATAGTAGTGCGTTACTATATATTCCTTAATAAGCCCTGCTGTGCTTCTCCTGCTAGAGAAAATAGAAGCTGCAGAAGTACCATTAATTGTTCATTGCCACATATGAATCCTTCCCTAAGGAATTCATATAGGAATAGGAATTCCCTATAATTCCTTAGATTATACTTGCCATCCAAAGTTTTTGATTTGTTTTGGACAGAAAAGGCAGGAATTTCAATTTAAAGTAAAAACAAAATTTTAGAAAATACTTCCATTATGTTTGTTAATTATTCCCATTTGCAGCAAAAACCTAATAAGATTGCTTAAGTGCATGCAGCAGTACTGGCTGTTTGTGCTAAGTCAAAATTCTGACTTAACATAATAGAGAAATGCAACCTGTATTCAGGTCCTGCCCTTGTTACATGTATTTGTCAAGAGTTAATGATAATGGGACATAATTCTTAATAAAACTATATGGTATTTCTCATGCATATGTTCACCCTTCTTGGGTAATCAGTGTTTGTTAAGTTGACTTTCTAGAAAAATCATGATATTAGTGACTGTCTTCATAGATATAAACAAGAGTTTGTAGGGTATAAAATAATCAACTGGAAACTGTAGAACAGGTAGTTTACCACCCAATGGATTTTTTTTTAAAGAGGCTGATGAGCAATTATCTTTTGCCTTTTTAATCAATGCATAATAATTAAATGAAAAATAAACACAGCTGCAGCCATCTACTTTTTGTTGTTTCATGTTGATTAACTTTTGGTGTGACAGGATAAAACATCTCTGAATCAAACTCTACTCCTACCAAATTTATCAGCAAAGCATAATACTTTCTTCTGCTCCAGAGTAGGAGAATTATTAAAAGTATAGCTGTGTTCAAGTTATAAGCTTTGAAGTGTAATGTTGCACTCAAATAGGAAGGAAACTTAATGTTTGTAATTACAAAGGTGTGCTTATTTTCTTATAAAGCTGCTATGCAATTGTATGGTGTCAGAAATACTTTATATATTATTCATTACATTTGTATACTGCTAGCTACCATTTATGGTCAAAAAGTAGAAAATCATACACTATTTATTATAAATCAATATTATTTATTAAGCCCAGTTATACAGTCATCTAATCTTAGAATCGAGGTCAGGGTAGCAATAGCAATAGCAATAGCAGTTAGACTTATATACCGCTTCATAGGGTTTTCAGCCCTCTCTAAGCGGTTTACAGAGTCAGCATNCAAAGGTGTCCTTCTTTACCAATCTGAAAAGCTGGTCACCTTAATGGTGGAGCTCGGCTTGTGTGATGGCAGAGAGACCTCCGCCTGTCACCTGTGGCATGCGTGGCATAAGCTTGCCATCACTGCCCTAATAAGTCCCCATATAGAGCTAATCAGAAAAAAGACTGAAGTACACTTGACATACAGTATACCTGGTTTGGCTAAAGGGTGAACTACAAGCAGTGAAGAGGGTCTCATCATGCTTCCTCCAAGGCGTATCTTCTTGAGGCCATTTTTCTTGTCTATTCTGAGTAATGAAGGCCTAGTCCAGTCAGATACCCAAATGTGGTGCTCAAAAACTGTGATGCCATAGGGATGGCCTAGAATGCAGATAAAAGATTGACAATTCCATTATATACATGCACTGAGTAAATATATCAATTAATATGCACCCGATATATTTCTATCATGAACATTGCAGATCAAGATTCAAATCTGAGCTCCAAGGATTGCATGGATTGTGTCATAGACGCTTCTGCAACTTGCAGATTGCCCCCTCGCCACCCCTGTTCCAGAATAGATGAGACTAAAATCTGTCTGTTTTTGGAGGAGGCATCCCTCAATCCCTTAAAACCCCTGAACAATCCTTAAAGATTCCTGGCCCCATCCATTTTTGGGACTGCAACTTTAATTATATAACCTACACAGTATTAGAACTGTCCCTCCTGGTCGTAAATCAAAGATTTGGGTCAGAGTGAGGCAAAATCTTTTAAATTCCTAGAACAGACTCTTGCCCAAAGCACATCCATCAATCTGTATTAGATGCAGAGGGAAAAACATGTGTCCTTCCATATGGCATTGGACTCCAGAGGTCATCACTGCTACCACAATATTACTGGATAAAAGCGAGAAAAGCAGTATATACAGACGTTATATCACCAAGTGACTTTATATCAGGAACAACCAGTGGTGCGATTCAGACAGTTTGCACCACTTCAGGAGAACCAGTTGTTAACTTTCTGAGCAGTTTGGTGAACTGGTTATTGGAAGAAATCATTAGCGCAGAGAACCGGTTGCTAAATTATTTGAATCCCACCACTGGGAACATCAGATGGGAATAATCTGCCCAAGGTCAGCTCACTGGTAGCTTGTTCCACTAGAAAAATTGTTCTAATCGATGTTTAATTGACTTTAAATACTACAAATTACTTTTTGTAATCCAAAATATTTTTGTATTGCCAGTCTTCATTTCATTTATTTAGTTGTAACTAAAATGTCCCATTCTTCTAGGATGGCGAACCTTTTCAGCACTGAGTGCCAAAAAGGAAGTGTGCATGTTCATCTGGCCCACAACCTGAAAGAGGAGGTGCCCAGGGCACATGCGCGTGCCAAAAATGAACTTCCAGTTTCTAGCACACGCATGCACGCTGGCCAGCTAGTCTTCTGGTTACTTGCACGCATGCATGCATGATGATCAGCTGGCCAGCGCGCATGGTCACACAGGAAAATGGAAGACCAGTTCTTCCAGATCCCAGCACTGTCGCATGCATGAAGGCAAGCTGATCACCGTGTGCGCATATGTGCCAGAAACCTGGAAGCAGAACGGGCAATGCCACGCATGCCAGGTGACATGGCTCCACATGCCACTTCGAGCACACGTGCCATAGGTTTGCCATCATGGTTCTAAGATTTTTATGAGGATTTTGTCAGAAGTGGGAGGCCTAAGACTACAAAATCCAGATTGCAGTTATAGCACAGGTGTAGCACAGTGAATGAACATTTGCAATGACAAGGGTGATGAAAAAATAAGTTTGTGACCAATCTACAAATTTACAACCTTCACCAGTCTGTACAGTAAAAGAAAGCTGAACTAAAATCATAAGCCCAGTTAATGTCCACTTTGCTTAACCACTGAGTTGCAAGTCTCAATTGTGATCACTAAGCAAGGACTACTTGTAGTTATAAGCATTGTCTTTATTTTTGTTCTCTTAACTCAATTGGGTGCAATCTGTAGCCTTACATGTATATTCCCACCTTCATTTCTTTACAACTGGTGATCCTTTTTTTAAATCGCACAACTGGAGCAAAATGGCATAACTTTTAAAAATCAGTCACACTTCTTGCCATTTTAAGATAGGAAGCATACAAAAAATTATAGACAGAAAAACTTCAACACTTCCCAACCCCAAACAAAAAGAATATCGGAAATCTTGGCCGTATCTGCATATATGACATATCTTTACTCAGGTTTTTTGGTCCTTCTTTTAGTGCAAACAAACCAGCAAATGATTGCCCATCTTCACCTAAAAACCTTTGCACCAGCCAACAACCAGAGAATGCATGAAAATCACTGGAAGCCTTAGAATGCATTCACAAATGTTTCTTCTCATATAAACATAATACCTTATCTAAGAACGACAAAAAGTAACCATGCTGGATTAGACCAAAACCTCCTTGCCAGTTGTCAGATAGATTTGCATTTATGGCACTCACAAGCAGAGGTAGAGACATAGGTCTCCTCTGCTCTTTTCCCCCTGCAACTGGTAGTGGGAAACATATTACCACCAACTCAGAAGTAACACTGAATCTGAAGACGGATCCTCCTTAGATCTGTCTCCTCCACAGAAGCATCTTTTCAGCATCTTAAATTACAGCAATGGGCACTAGATGGCAGTAGTGCTGCAATAAGAATCACTACAGTAATATTAACCTATTAATAGCTGGGCTAAAGTGGGGGAGTATGTGTTCTGTTTCCTTCCCTTTATCGGCACACGGTATTTCAATTTTCAAAATTTGTTCACATATCTTTGCACAAAACTTCAAGGAAGTCAGGAGGGATGGAGAAAGGGAGGGAAAAAGAGGGAGGAGGAAGAGGGGGGAAAAATACACACACCAGTCCCTTTGTTAAGCTCACTCCCTTAGCTAGCAGCCTTTTGATTTATCAGAACAAACATACATTGGAATGTGGACCAGATATTTGCTCTCCAAAACAGAGTCTATAAATAATTCCTTTAATACTTTCCTGCTTCTCATCCAAAAAACCCTCCTATTTTTCTTCTTCATTTTGCACAGGGTTGCCTGAACTTCATCTTGGGGCAAGGTGGAATCAGACCAGAGATGAAATGCAATATGGTTGGGTGACCAACAAACAAATAACCATCTAGCTATCATGGATATTTGTAGGTATTTGTTGCTTTCATCACTGGGACCCTAATCAATTTTCTGGAGCAGCAGTGCCGAATAAGTGCAGAGGTGGTATTCAACCGGTTCGGACCAGTTCGCCCGAACTGGTAGCAGAAATCGCGGGTGGGCTACCCACCTGCCCCGGCTCTATGCCGTGCATGAGAAAAGCGCATGCACAGAAAACTGGGTACATGCATGGAAGGGGCGCACATGGGATGAACCAGTGATAACAAAATGTGAAATCCGCCGCTGGATAAGTGATACAAAAAAAAGGGAGATCAGTCTACTGTGGTCATTCTTCCATTGACATTTTGATATGTACATTATAGGATAGAAAGCTAGCATCCCAAAGCCTCACCTACATCATTCTGTGCAAGTATTTGCCGATTAGAACCATCCAGGTTTGCCATTTCAATAACAGACATTTTGGCATCACACCAGTACAGCTTGTCCTCAGCGTAGTCAATAGTTATTCCACTGGGCCAAAGCAAGCCTGAATTTGCTATAATGACACGCTCTGAGCCTTGTAAAGTAGATTTTCCAATATGTGGATTGAGCCCTAGGTTTGTCCAAAACAGTTCCCTTTATTGAAGAAAAACAAAATAAGTCATTGCATTTTTTAAAAAATCCTTCCACGTTAAAAATCGATATCTGTCAGAGTGAAATATAAACAATATTCATAGGTAAATAATTTTGGGTTTTAAAATCCATCTTTGATCCCTCAACCATGATTAACATATAGGAGGCATTAGTCATTGCACAATTACTGGACTGATGATTAGAACAGAAAATGAAATTTATTTAGAGGAAATTCCTCATGGGCAGGGATGAAATCAACTTACCTTCACTCCCAGTTCACAAATGTGAGCGCACGCACCACCTCTGCACATGGGCAGGACTTTCCGCACATGCACAGAGCGTCAAAAATGGTACGTGATGAAATTGGGAGTGTGGGCGGAGCTTGATACCGATCACGCCTGCAAAGGTAAGTACAACAGGGAGGGGGCAGGGAATCTGCTGGGCCATGCGATTTAGATTAGCTATAAAGCAGGAAATCTGACGATTCTAGCTAATATAAATTATGCGTCACAGTTGATTGTCAGAACTACCAATTCGCACGAACCGGTACCATTTTTTTACTACGAGTTTGGGCGAACTGGTGCAAACCGGTAGCATTTCACCTTTGCTCATGGGGATAAGAGAAAGTCAAACATCTAGCTAACTATTTGGAGAAGAGTCAAAGGGCATGGGTCCTGGGCATGGGTGTTTGAGAAGAAAGGCAGAAGGAAGTGACTTCCGGTTACCAATCTCTTAAACAAAGAGCAGGCAGAGTGATGAACAGACAAAACATAAAATTTGTTGTAGTTAACCATTTAGTTGTGTCCGATTCTTGGTGACTCTATTGGCAAGTGCTATCCATTATACCCTTCAAGCACAGCTTTTTTCAGTTGTTGGAAGTTCAACTTTTTATACTAGATTTGATTTTTTTTTTCAAGTCAGCATGTTCTTTGGTTGCCCCTTCTTTGTGTTCCACTAACCATTTCTAACATCACTGACTTTTCCAATGAATTTGTATCAGTGGTGAGTTCCAGAGCGGCGTCCACATGGATGTGCGCAGCCAGCGCATGCATCTTAGCGCCTCCATGAGTCTGCGCGACACTCCAGCTGCTCCGTGGACTGTCACACAGGCACTGTATGCACCATGCCCGTGCGCAGAAGTGCGGAAGCCTTAAAAGACAGGTAAGGAGCTTGGGCGGATGGGTCCTCCAGAGCACCGTACTGGAATGGTATCCGTGCACCGGGCAGGCTCTGGTACGCCCATACTGGGGCGTACCGCCCACAACTCACCACTGATTTGCATGCATAACAAGGTCAAAGTAGATCAGGTGAGGTCTTATAATTTTAGCTTCTAGTGATGTGTCTGGTTTTGTACGATTTAACACCTTTCTGTTTGTTATGCTGGCTATCTATCGTACACATAGTAATTTACACCAGTGTCCTAGTTCAAAGGTGTCAATTCTTCGATCAGCCATTCTTAGTGTCCAACACTCACACTCATATAGCACTATAGGAAAGACTATTGCTCTAACTAGCCTGTTTTTTGTATTTATGATCAAAAAATAAATAACTATTTATCTACATTCTACTTCTACTTTGTGGTCAGTAGCTCATAAGATGCTAAAGAATTAGAGCCATTGGATCTGCACCTTCGATAACTTTTTTTTGGTCTTTTAATGACCAATCTCTTGCATCAGGGTGGAGTTGGGGCAACTGAATGGAACTAAGTGTTTACTGGCTGGATGCGCTTCCTGTCGCCAATGCGGAGTTCGCAGCAGATATAATCTCATTGTACCCAGAGAGAGAAATATCTGCCTCTACCTAGGATCAAACTCACAGCCTTCTGATTGTGAGGCGGCAGCTCCACCTCTACGCCACCGCACCACTCAATCTGCACCTTCAGTATCTATAAGTACCTGCAAAATCTTTGCACGGGTAAAATAGTTGCAATAGAAGCAGTGGTTTTACAGACTTTATTCACGGGTGTCTACATCACCCAATAATATTTTGGAAACAAATTTGACTCAATATTTTACCTGGTAAATGGATGAACAGCAATTCCTTGAGGATGAAACACCTTCTCCTGGATGATTATTTTTCTCTGCATTCCATTTAGATTACTACTTTCAATGCTACATTTCCTACAAAATAGACACACAGAATGGGGTTTCTTATTGTGATAACTTAATCTGACACTTTACTTGCCTCCTTCCAGTTGATTCTCTTATAGGTAAAGGTAAAGGTTCCCCTTGCACATATGTGCTAGTCATTCCTGACTCTAGAGGGCGGTGCTCATCTCCATCTCAAAGCTGAAGAGCTAGCGCTGTCCTAAAACATTTCTGTGATCATGTGGCCAGCATGACTAAATGCCTAAGGTGCACGGAACGCTGTTACCTTCCCATCAAATATGTTTCCTATTTTTCTACTTGCATTTTTTATGTGCTTCTGAACTGTTAGGTGGGCAGAAGTTGGGACAAGTAACGGGAGCTCACTCCATTACGCGGTGCTAGGGATTCAAACCGCCAAACTCCCGACTTCTCTAATTGATAAGCTCAGCATCTTAGCCCCTGACCCACCCCGTCCCTTATATAATATTCTCTTATACCATGATATTAATTAAACATTTTAAACATTTCTCCTCAGTTCTATCTTTTCCTATTAACAGAAGTTGTAAACTGAATAAGACTAGGAGTAGGAGCAGCCATAATCCATAAATTAAATTAGTAACTTCATAAAAAAGCATCTATGATTATGTGTACGTCTTCAAGTCAATTTCTGATTCCTGGTGACTGCCTGGACTAGTCCCTGTGATTTTCTTGGACAAGATTGTCCAGAAATGGTTTGCTATTGCTTTGTTCTCAGGGCTGAAAGAGAATGGCCCAAAATAATCCAGCTAGATTTATGCCTAAAGCAGGGGTAGAACTCAGGCTATCCTGGCTCCTATCTTGGTGCCTTAATCTCTAGACCAAACTGGCTTTGTAAACCAATTGTTACTATAGGCCTGTGATGGTGAACCTATGGCATGCGTGCCCGAAGTGACACACGGAGCCATGTTGCCTGGTATCACCCGTTCCTCTTCTGGGTTTCTGGTGTGCATGCGCGCACGACAATCAGCTGGCTTTCGTGCATGCGACAGTGCCAGAAACTGGAAAAGCTGGTCTTCCGTTTTCCAGTATGAGCATGTGCGTCATCGCACGCGCATGCACGGCAGTAACCAGGAGACTAGCTGGCCTCCACGCATGCACCCACTGGAAACCGGAAGTTCATTTTCTGGTGCGTGCATGCCTCCTGAGCAGCTCCCTTTTTGGCATTCAGTGCCAAAAAGGTTGAGCATCATTGCTATAGGCAAATACGGCAATTGCTATTTCTTAAGAAGATAGTATTTGTTATGGTTTTGCTGATATTATCAAAAGTTTTCCCTTCCCATGTGGAAGTCCTGGAAGGGAGATCTGTGAAGTGAATTGAAAATAACATCTCGGACACAATTGATTGGGAGTGTGTTTTTTTCCCTAACAATGTTCCTTGGTTTCCTGTTTTTCTAGAAGGAAGGAGATACATTCACTATTCAATAAAGAAAATGCATTAAATGAATTCTTCTGGTTAGCATATTATTCAGCAAAAAGTCTCTTTGAGTCTTTTTTTTTATTGCTAAGTCTTTCTGTTATGACTAATCTTAAATACCCAAATGCATGTTACCATTTCAAAAACATTTCAGTTACTCTCTCCTTTCCCCTTCTCCCACTTGTTTATTTGTCAGCATATTTTTTCACTACCAGGAGGTGTTATTACGCAAAGAGCATACCCGGGGTCAGTCCAGTACAATTTGCGATTAATCCAGTCTAATGCTAGTCCTTCTGGTCTCTCACTTGCGTCACATACAACTTTTTCACGATTGGTGCCATCCAGCTCAGATCTCTCTATACACTTCAGGTCTGTATGGGTAAAATAAATCTGTAACAAGAAAGCCAAAGGTTTATAGATGATTATAGGTGGTCCTCAACCTGTAACCGCAGAATTTCTCTTGCTAAGCAAGTTAGCTGTTAAGTGAGTAGTGCTCCATTTTACAGTCTTGCAACCTTTTTTTGCCATGGTTGTTAAACAAATAATTCCATTTGTTAAATAAAACAAATCAGGGGTGTTAAACTCAATTTCACTGAGGGTCGCATCAGGACTGTGGTTGACCTTGGGGGGGGGGGCCTGGCTGACTGGGTGGGCGTGCCATCCTGATGCCACACACTGGGTGTGGCTGACTGGGTGGGTGTGGCCAACTGGGTGGGCATGGCCAGCTTGACTCCACTCCCCAAACTGCTGGCATGTTTCCACTTTGCATTGGGTAGACTGGGCCGAAGCCACATTGGGTGGACCAGGCTGAAGCAATACAGGTCATCCCCTTACATTTTCAAGGATGGCCCTGTGGGCTGGACCCAGATTGTTGGGGTCAATATGCTAACTCTGTAAACCGCTTAGAGATGGCTGTACAGCACTGTGAAGCGGTATATACAGTCAATGTAAATGCTATTATTATTGCTAATAGATAGAATCATTCAGTTAGTATTTTTTTAAAAAATGTGGCAAGTTTAGGTATGACATATATGTCATGTGAACATATAACTGCTGATATGTGCTCATTGTTTTAGGAAACCCAAGTCATATAGCAATAGGAAGTACTCTGTGTGTGTGTGTGTAGATATAGAGATAGAGATAGATATAGGTATAGATATATACACATACTGTATATATCATGGAGCACTATGAACTGAACAGTTAAAATACAATGCAGTAAGAGCATTGATCCGTGCAATATTTTAAAATCCCCCTTTCTAAAAAAAAAGTCTTACCTTACTTTCCATCGGATCCCAGTCCAGACCTAAGACTATTCCTATCTGCCAGCCAAGGACTCTTGAGTATTCCGTCCCATCAAAAGCAATGCTACGGATATCTTGACTGTTTGCAAACAACAGAAATGGCTTTGGACCTGTTTGTAATAAATGTAGTAACATTTATCTTCTACTGCAACACTCTGCAGATAAAAATGGAAAGAAGCTTCCTCTCTTCTCTTCTCACTTACAATCCTTACATGGCACTAATCACAGATTACATTAATTACAAAATGATTATAAATAACCATGGTGATAACCTGCCAATGAATTTAATATATGTCAAATATGACAACTGCTTATATTTTTCAAAACAGGTAGATGAATATTGTTGCATACATTTTGTTTTCCAGGGGAGAAATTACCTGTAATGGGCTTGCATTAGAGAATAATGTTCTGAAAATATATCAGTAGTACTTGGCTAAAAGAAAACTTCATACTAAATTTAAGTAGAGCATAAATATATGTGTAAATGTCTCCTTAGCCACCCCCCCTCTAGGGGTGGGCTTCAAAAAATTCAGCATCGGGTTCTCTGCCCGGTTGCTGGGGGGCGTGGCCATGGGGGCGTGGCCTAGTCGACCTCCTGCACCATGGCGAGGGAGCCGTTTTCACCTTCCCCAGGCTCTGGGGGCTTTCCTTGAGCCTCCGGGAGGGCAAAAACTGCCTCCCCTGGGCTCGAAGGTCTTCCGGGAGGCCCGTATTCCCTCCTCTCCAAGCCTCCTTGCGGACCCTGCACTTACCTCACAACCAAAACTGGGCGTGTGGAGACTCCTGGGAGGGGAGGGGTGGGAGGAGTGAGGCAGGATGGGTGGGACAAGCCAGGGGTGGCATTTGGAGGTTCTCTGAACTGGCCATAATGTTAGCTATGGGTTCTCCCGAACCTGGGCGAACCCGTAGCAGCCACCCCTGCCCCCCTCCAAAAAAATACCATGACAATTTCAGTCTTTTATTAAACACCTATTTGTGACTCAATATTGCTTCCCATATTAATCTGGACTATTTTGCTTAGCTATGCTTTCAATTCTGTCCTATCATGGATATCTATATTTTTTAAAAAGTGAAATTTCAGGGGGCCCCCTTGAAGAGCTAATAAAGGAGATTTTCCTAGATCTCTTTAAGATCCATCTAGGCTTATATTTCGCTATACATTTTAGCAAAATGCACCATGTGCTAGAGCAGTTTATTTCAGAACAACCAGAAACAGCTATTACATGGACAGATGCACCTGCAAAAAGCACATGTCCAATCCTTCTTGCAACCCATGCCAAAATATCCATAAACCAATATCCTGTTACTGATAGAAGGGTTATGCCTGCATCAGCCTAAATTGGCCTGAATTGGAGACAGCCTAAATTGGCCTACATTGGGGACAGAAAGATCATCACAATGTCATCTACTATATCTTCAAGGATGATTCATAGATTGCGTCCATTGCAAAAATTGAGCCAAGAGGGAAAACTCTATATGATATCACTATATGTCTTTTAAAAGCAATTTATGGGGCATTTTCATGTCTCAATTAGAAGAACGTGAGGATGAGTCCAAAGATCACAATACTTACTTAAAGCAACACAATGTCTTTTGTCATCCTGGAGATCAAAGCCAGGAAAGCAACCACAATCCCAGGTTGTTGGACCCAAAGATGTACAAATCTGGCTACAACCACCATTATCAGGCGATGTACAACCTAAAACAGATTCACTTGTTAAAAATGGATGTTCATCTAATGTCATTGCACTTAGACTGATATGAAGTAGCATGGTTCGCTCTGCTGAGTTTCAGTAAGTATTATAGTAAACAATTTTTTACAGATGATCTCTAGTTGAACTATGGCTTGTGGTTATTAATTTAGGGATTCCCAGGATGGATGAAGGTGGAGGTAAGAATCCTCTATATCTCACTGTGTTCCATCATTTGGTGAATACCAAAAGAATCTTCCAAAGGGATTCTGCTTCTTAAATTGTCTGTCTTTGGCAGTAATTTATATATGGGTCACTAATGTATAATAGGGCAATATTAAAGTATTTCAAAAATTTATAATTTAGATCAGCCTCCTCCAACTTCAAATTCAGTTGACCACAACTCGCAAATTTCTCACTCAGCATGGAACTTTCTCCCCATTAGATTATATTTCTTCCCAATTTGGTTTTTTGCTCCCTAATATAAAAATTTAAATTATCTCTTGTTAATATTACAGCAACATACTTGATATCTCTTCTATTTCTCACCAATCATATCTCTGGATATCTCACAAAGGATTTAAATAATTTGGACTTTAACAGCTCAAATTTATATTTCAAATAAAATCAGTTTATTACAATTTATTACTATCCAGGTATGATAAAATATCCAATAGTAGCATTTATATTTCAAACAATGAGTAGCTTACAAAAATGTTTGCTTTCTCCTCCTAAAATGCTTTATGAAAACCTCTGGCAATGCATATTCTGTACCTGTAAATCTCAATAGCTCAATTTTTTTGCCTAAAAACCAATTGTGTAGAGTAAACATGGCATGAATATCAGCCAACTTTTTCATTCCTTTCTTCTTTTTATACCTTCTAACATCTTATTTATTCAAAAGTTCTTTAAAGCTTGCAAATACCATATTTTTGGAGTATAAGATGCACCCTTTCCCTCAAAAAAGAGGCTGAAAATCTGGGTGCATCTTATACACTGAATACAGCATTTTTAGCCTCCCGAAACCCTGCCCCATTTGCAAAAATGACTGTGGATAACCTTTAGGAGGCTTCCAAGTGCTCCTGGGGGCTAGGGAGGGCTAAAATGAGTGAAAAACAGGCCGTTTTTTTGCCCCGACCCCCGACCCCAGGAGCACTCTACAAGCCTCCTAAAGGCTATGCATGTCCCTTTTTTGATGAAAAATGGCCCTGTTTTCATGAAAAACTGGTCGTTTTTGGGAGGTCTTCAGAGTGCAAAAACTTTTTAATTTTTTAATTTGCCTCTTCAAAATCTTGGTGCGTCTTATACGCCAGTGCATCTTATACTCCAAAAATATGGTAGTTTTAAATTGACCTACTGGTAATTTTCACTTGGACTAATAAAAAATATTATACCTTTGATTCCCTCATCCCCGGACAGCTAGATTCCAACTTGCTTTTTTACAGAAATAAGGTAAATAAGATAATTCTTCTAGGTATGTTATACTTCTACAACTCCTGTCCAGTCCATTCAATTTAACTCAGGATTATAGGAATGAATCAAATATTTCCAGTGCTAGGTTGGTTCAACACCAGGCTAGAGAATGCTGAAATACAATCCTAATGCTAAACACTGTTAATTATAAAGTACTATCCTATTTCAATATCTAGCATTTGTCATCTACCGCAACATTTTCACAATAACCATTGAAAAATAATTATATTTGTCTACCTGAACATGTTTTTCCATCGGCTTGGAGAACTGATCCTTCAGGACAAAAGCAAATAGGCCCTTCCTGTGTCTGTCCACAATCATAACTGCAGTGAATATAATTGCTTGAACAGGAAATCAGTTCTACGATGCATTAAAATAAAGAACATTTTTTTAAAAATTGATAGAAATAAGTTGGAGCAATTCAAGCAAAAGTTAAATACAAGTAACTTACTACGTGTTGTATCACTGATATTATTCTCATTCACTCCTTCCCAGTACTTATGTCATAAGCCCATGATGGGGAACCTATGGCACACATGCCTGAATTGGCACACAAAGCCATTCCGCCTGGCACATGCGGCAGTGCCCGTTCCTCTTCTGGGTTCTGGCACGCATGCACACTTGCTGGTCAGCTGGCCTTTGTGTGTGTGGCAGTGCCAGAAACCAGAAGAGCTGGTCTTCTGTTTTCTGGCGTGAGCATGCACACCAATCCGTTGATCGGCATGTGCCCATGTGCACCAGAACCCGGAAGATTTTTTGTCCAGTGTGCATGTGCACACTGGAAACCACAAGTTCATTTTCAGGCACGTGCATGTCCAATTTCCAGCTCCCCTCCCCTTCCTGATTGTGGCCCAGACGAGCGTGCATGAAGTGCTCGCTTTTTGGCACTCGGTGCTAAAAAGGTTCACCATCACTGTCATAGGTCAACAATTGTTCCAGACTAGCTAGATAGGTTTTTTTTTTTAAAAAAAGAGAATATATTTCCAATTTCTAACGCTAAAAACAGAGCAACCTAGTTAGGTAAAGGCTTCTCTAGAGAAGGTGTGTATATGTGACAGAAAAAAATTGACAACAGGTAAATATTTGATTTTTCCAGAATAAATATATAAAAAAGAACAACTAATAAAGCATGAGTAAAAATATCATGGGAAGGTGTCTTATCATGGTATCCTCACCCCCCCTTTCATTTATTTCCTTGTTCATTAACCACTGGTATAAATTTCTTTTAAAATTGGAAGAATTTTAAAGTATATTTAAACATCATCAGCACCTCATTAAAAAAAAAACGGAAAACCCAACTTATTTGAATTAGAAGTTCTTGGGGTAGGACCCCCAATTTTATATTAGGGACCATACTTTGAATCTTGAGATTATTTTACAGGCACTACTACCAAAAGGCTACTACAATGGATATACATGGTTACAAAAGACAAATTTATCAGAAACAAATTAAGGTGTTGTTTCTCACATTACCCTCTATTTTCCCCAAGGATAATTTCTACGGTCTTCTTTTTTGTAAAAGGATACATACTTTTGAACAGAATACTGGGCTTCTGTAGTCTCCCTGTTTGTCTATGTGCATATATACGCAAGCAACATTTCCACTGGGATTGTGTCATGGTATGTGGGAATGACCTTCGGAGACATGAGGGAGAGCCACAAGTTCTACTGTCAGCTTATGAAAGACATCATGGTGGCACAGTGGTTAGAATGCAGTATTGCAGGCTAACTCTGCTCACGCTGCCAGGAGTTTGATTCCTTTGATCCTGACCAGCTCAGGGTTGACTCAGCCTTCCATCTTTCTGAGGTCAGTAAAATAAGGACCCAGATTGTTGGGGGCAATATGCTAACTCTGTAAACCGTTTAGAGAAGGCTGTAAAGCATTGTGAAGCAGTATATGTTAGTCTAAGTGCTATTGCTATTATAGTCCACAAAAGAAGAGAGAGATGAGAAAGTTTCAAAGGTACACAACACAGTTTTACAGAGAGTAAAAGGAAAGGAGGGGAGAAATACAATAGAGTCTCACAAGATTCTATTGTGTAACCTTAGAATAGAGTTAGTACTTCTAGTTGTGTCTTCTCTGGACTCCCTCTCTGATTGCCAGTGAAACAACTGCAGCTGGAGACAAGGACAATTTTCAAAGGAGATACACAAATCTTGAAAATCAGAGATCCTCAAACTTTTGAGCACCAGGGACCCATTCTGTAGAACAGTGTTTTCCAACCTTGGCAACTTGAAGATGTCCGGACTTCAACTCCCAGAATTCCCCAGCCAGCGAATGCTGGCTGGGGAATTCTGGGAGTTGAAGTCCGGA